TTGTTCTCCTAAATTACCTTTATGTCAAGTATGTAAGAGAAAGAAAGATGTTACTTTCAAATGTTTTCTGCTTCAATAAACCAGTTATTTCTCTTTCTTGCCCTCTAATGAAACATACACATTCACTGAAATGCAAAAATAAAATGTGTAGAACTAGAAAAGAGAGAGAGAGAGAGAAATCAGAAGGTGGATCTAAATCGAATTCTACTAAACACATTCTTGTCAGTTTCGATCATTCAAGTCAATCAGAATGGTGTGTTGATCTAGAATGTGTACTTGACTAAAATCCGGTATGCCACTGTATTTAGCAAACATTCAACCATAAGAAAAAAAGCAAAACAAACTATTCCGGATATGAAGGTGTCATCAATTTTCAATAAAATTACTTATAGTCACGAGAAAAGAAAATGCTTTCTGTTTCGGTTTTCTTTTTTTATTAATTGATAGTTAACAACATGACTGTTTACCTTTAAGGTCCCTTCGTTCCAATCACAACGTGGAATCGAATAGACAGTTATCTTAGCTTTCTATCCACCGTCGATTGAAATTCTTTCTTCTTTGCTATCTTAGGAAACATAATAAGTAAAGATAACAAATAAATAATTTAGTGGTACAATGTTGTCTCGTAATCCATTGGCATGTTAGCTTCCTATCCTTCTTGTCCATCGACATTCTGATCATTTTGATCAGAATCGACCATGAGGATCACAATGATCATTCAGAGTGATTTTGAAACTATCGAATATAAAACTGTTACGAGAAACATTAGAGATTTTATTTAAAAATCACTTTATTGGTGTGTTCAACCTTTCGATAAGATACATTTGAATTTTATGTCATTCAATGATCTTCCACGTGTGACGGTGGATAGAAAGTTAAGATAACTGTCTATTCGATTGCACGTTGTGATTGGAACGAAGGGACTTTAAAGGTAAATAACTAGATATTTCTTCAATATCAACTAGATATTTCTTTGTTGAAGTAAAACTTAGTACAAAAGAAAAGATGAAGAAACTTTTGTAATTCTTTAGTAGTTATTCAGTATTGACTTCAATAATGACTTTTTCGCCTCTGATTTGGAAAAAATGATTTTTCTTAGCGAGGAAAAGGAATTTTTGGAAAAGCTTTTCGTAACTGTAAAGCCGAGCATCTAGCGGATTCAGTCATGTAAAAATATTGGCTCTATGACCTCTATAAAACCTTGTGTTAGTAGTTCTGCACAGTTTGTGTGCCGCGTTTGAGCCGTGCCGGTTTCGGATACTAGCAAAAATCCAGTTTCGGCTCTGAAACCCCCCTGAAATGAAGCTAGTTTATTAGATTCAGTTTTCGATTCTGAATTCGAAAAACTTTGTTTTAAGTATTGAAACTAAAATGCAAAAAGGTCATGGCCAGTTTTTTGAAACTTTCGGGTTTTGTCTTTTTTGACAACTTCCGAGTTTTTTGAATTTTTAGATCAATAAAAAGTCTCCAAAAAAAGCGAGGCGCACATGTTCCTAATCAGCGCACAATTCTCTATCGAATGATGTGTAAAACATCGAAAAATAAATTTTGCTCGAAGTCTGCTTTCCGAGCACCTGATTCGCGTCGGTTTTCTATATATAGTTGTGTTATAACGATTGTTACTGCTATCTCGACTTGTTAAGACATCGAAGAAAGCGAAGTTTTCTTCAGATTCATGCTCAATCGTGAACGTAATGTTAGAATGCCATTTATTAATTCTTATTAGAAAACCGTTAATATTTTGATGATTCTTAAAGATATAAAATATATCATCCACGGATCTAATCCAAATTTAAGGTTTATTTGTTGAAAATCTGCTAAGGTTTTGTTCAAGCTTTGTCATAAATAAGTCTGCTAATATAGGACCAAGTGGGGAACCCATTGCTACTCCTTCAATTTGTAAATATGTTTTATTAAGGAACCGAAATGGAATATTACATACTGCTATTTCTAATAGTCGTTTTAATTGTTGACGTGGATATAGTATGGGCGGCGGTCTAGACCTTTTAAAGAGCATATCTAAAGTAATTTCTATAGCTTGATGGACAGGTACGTTTGTGTATAAATTATCAACATCAAAACTAACCATTACTTGATTTGAGCTGTCTCGAATTTCAACAATCTTTTTCACAAATTCAAAAGAGTCACGAATGTAAGAAAAAGATTGAGATGGCCGGTTACTTTTTATGAGTTTATAAAGATATTTGGAAAGATCATGATTATATGAGCCAACAGATGAAATTATCGGCCTAACCGGATAATTAAGCTTGTGTGTTTTTCGTTGATCGTACATCGTTGCAAGAGAAGAACAAGTTGAATGAATACGGCACGACAAATTATTATGTTGTTATTGCTTTTTAAAGATTTAAGAACATTGAATTCTTTATCACTAATATTCTTCATCGTTTTCTGTTTAACTGATCTCATAAATATCTCTGAATAGTTGTGTAGTTTACGACAAATAGTAGACAACACATTAGGATGACAATGTTCTCGAAGTTTATAAGCATTCAATTCCATATCCACCATCGAGACAAAATAATTGTGCATTGCCGTTTTACCTTTGTCTAATTTTGCTAGCGTTTATTGAAGATGTATCTCTTGTTGGTCGTAATAAGATTTCGTTCAGAGAAGAACAACATATGAGTGTAAAACTGTTTTGACATGTCGAGCAAGAACTAAGTTAAAATGTTCCAACTCAGAATTAACTTTCTTGATAAGTGAGTGACATAAACCAACAATAAACGGCGTACAATTCCGATGCCAATTTATCGGCTCCTTCGTAATGCGTCCTGGTAAAAGCTGGAAAAAGTTTGACATATGCAGAATAATATTATTATCGTCAACAGGATTCGGATTCGGAAGTTTTTGTTCTTCGATCAATTGACGAATCCGTTTTTGAAAATGATAGGTAGGAGCACTTGGATCTACATGATTCTTGTCTAACATAATTTAGTCCCCCGAAATCAAACGCTCGTCGAATTGAAGTTCGATAATGACTAGTAAAATTCAGATATCTCAATGCAGGCCAGAGATGCATGATCCAAACGATGAAAAATCAGAACAATTGAAACGCAAAGTTTTTTGGAATCCAGACAATTACTGATACCTATTAGCATACTAAATTTCTTATTATCTTTGTGTACACATCTAATTTCATTAAACACTAATTTATAATCACATAAAAAGAAACAAAAATAAGGTTAATGCCCCGAACTCCGCACACTTTTAATAAAAAGTGACTATATCTATATCCCAAACTCCACACATAATTACATAAATTCGAAATATACGTGATTTCAAGGACAAGAAATGAAAAGAGAACGGAATTTGCATAGAATAGAGAACGGTTTGATAATTACGTCAAAATTTGTAATTAAAAGAGAACGGAATAAAAAAAATCGAAAAGAGCACGGTTTTTTCGTTGAAAAGAGAACGCTTTTCATTTATGAAAATAAATAATGGGAAA